TTTAATGTAGAGGAATCGATGCAAAGGCTTGGAGAGATTGGAATGTTAGAGCAGACTTGTCATTTAGGACATGCTCATCTACAATAGAAGGGTCCAGAAGGCATACCTTTTACCAGTAGTGTGAGAAATAAACTTGTGAGAGAAGCCTTGGCGTCCTTGAGGAGCTCTGTGATCACCTGTCTCTGTAGGCCAGACCTTAGTGTGGAGACTCCAGTCACCGAAATGGGAAACCTAAATGCAATGGGAGTCACTGGATCTTGGGTGGCAGAGGCCGAGCAAGGTGGCTGTGGCTACTGTAACGGACAGCAAAGCCAAAGCAGCAACCAGAATAACCTGGCTTGTGCAGACCCATGGTGCTGGCTAGTTAGTCACGGTGTTCCTAGAAGTGGAATATATAGAAAGCCTACTACATTCTTACTTGATCTATATGTGGAAAAATTCTAGGTTATGTGAACAAAAGACTAACCTGAATCATAAAAACATGAAGTCACAGCCCCTCAATCAATAAACCCAGAACCCTCTGAATGAAGGGGAGGCCAGACTCCCAGGAGGGACACTGGCACACTGCTAAAAATTTATATTGTTAATTTTCTCCCAGGCTTCCACATAGGGACCTATGGCCTTTTACCAGGGAAACTGTGCACTAGGGAAAAGGAAATAGTCACTGCAGATCCTGGACTTCTCAGCTTCCATAATCTTGTACGCAAATTCCTTATAGTAAATCTATCTATCTGTCTATCTATCTGTCTATCTATCTCCTATCTATCTCTCCACCCATCTATCTAATCTCCCATTGGTTCTGTTTCCCTGTAGTACCCCTAGACTAACATGCCTTGTCTCCCTGTATCTCCTGGGCCTATAATATCATCTGTCACATAGCAGGTGCTCANACATGACCTGAAAGCTCCTATCTGTGCCCTGAAGAACACCCTTATTTCTTGCAGTTGCAGGCCTGAGACTGCTGAGAATCCAATGCGCACTCTCACTGTGATTGGCTGAATTACAACTCAAGTTGAATTCCCAGCCTTGCAGGGAGTATAAATACTGCTCAATTCATGGCATTGATTGGGAAAAAATGGGAGCTTGTAACTTTAAATGGGGATGTATGGGGAGACATTGATGAAGCTGGGGACATTGAGCCCTGAATTCTGAGGAGTCTTCTTTACAA